CCCTCTCTATTTCTCTTCCTCCTTTTCCTCTCTCTCTCCTCTCTCTCTTTCTCTCCCTCTCCTCTCTCTCTCTCCTCTCTCTCTCTCTCCTCTCTCTCTCTCTCCTCTCTCTCTCTCTCTCTCCTCTCTGTCTCTCTCTCTCCTCTCTTTCTCTCTCTCCTCTCTTTCTCTCTCCTCTCTTTCTCTCTCCCGCTCCTCTCTCTTTCTCTCGCTGCTTCCGACCGTCTACCGTTCTGTGCTTCCCTGCATCGTCTTGCTCTCTCTAACAAAAGGAGGAGAAAAAAAGACTAAATATATAGACAAAATAGATAAAATAAATGAATATAAATAAATAAATAAATAAATAAATAAATAAATAAATAAAGAATAAATAGAATATAAATAAATTAATCTACATCCTCAGCAACAGATGCACGAATAATTTTTATGTCATAAATTGGACGATCCGTTTTCGTCGTCTGCACGAGCGAAATTTTTTTCAAAGTTTTGAGGCCAAAAAAAATTCTCCCAAAAATTGAATTTTTTCCGTCTAAGTTTGGAGAGGGAGAAAATAATAATAAAAAATGCGACGTATTCTTATTTATACCACTATTTGCCATAGATAGTACACCAGCTCCTGTATGACGTAAACCTGTATACATTCATATTTATTTATTTATTTATTTATTTACTTTTTTCTTTATTCTTTTGGTTGTGCTGGTGGTAGTTGGTGGTGCACAGGAAGGAAGCTGAGGAGAATACGACGTCTATTATCAACTGGTTCAATCACTCACTATATTGAGAGAGAGGGATTTATTATTAGGGTTTAGGGTTTAGGGTTTAGGGTTTAGGGTTTGTAACGTACCTGGATGTATCTCATCTTTGAAGGGTTTACCAAATACAGATGTACCTCCTCTTCCTGTTCCTGTAGGATCTCCTGATTGTGCCCATTTTCCTCTGCATACTCTATGAAATAAGCAACCATCATAGTATCCTCTCTTAGATAAAAGGAAGAAATTAATACAAGTCATGGGTGCATGCATCCAATATAATTCAAGTTCTATAGGACCTAATGATGTATGCAAGGTAACATGACGATTAGATAAATAAGATGCATTTTCTTGTACAGCAGCAACAGCAGCAGATACTGCTGCTGTATCTGACGTATCTAAATTATCTAATAAAGATATTATTGATATATTTATATTATTATTTATTCTTTCTTTATCTCCAGCTATCAATTTCACCGCAGATATTTCCTCTTCTTTCTCTACATCCCCACCACTCTCTTTTCCGCGAGTCTCTGCTAACGTAAACATCCCGTCCAATACACACACGTAAATGTCCCAGCAGCAGCAGCAGCAGCAGCAGCAGGACGAGGAGGAACAGAAAGAGGAACAGTAGTTATATAGGGGAGCACCTAGGGAATGAGCCTGTTGAGGGTAGGACGAACAGACGCCACCTCTCTTATATTTCCTCTACCTATAATAAACTGTACACAACTACTGGAGAAAAATTATCGATGCTGTCCTTTGTCTACATAGGACTGGAAGCAACAATGCTCCTGCTGCTGCTGCTGTTGCTGTTGTTGTTGTTGTTGTTCTTGTTGTTGTTGTAGTCCCTGCTGCTGCAGCTGTTGGATCGCAGTGTACAGTTATACAGACTTATTGGGGAAGTGTTATAACCAATGATATAATAATAAAAGGAGAGCCCCCAGAGATCTCCTACGTCTGAATACAACAGAGGATATACAATTAGGGGAGAAAAAACAGGGTGAGCGGTCGTGGGGCTTCCTGTTGTCAGTACACGCAAGATGAAAGAATGAATTTTTACCTATTTAATTATTTATTCTATAAAAAGGAAAGGACCTAGAAGAACGAAGCAAAAAGGGACGCATGCAACAGGCAACAGTCCTCTCCAGCCACCTGCGGCAGCAGCAGCAGCAGCAGCAGCATCGAGCGGAAGCAGCAGCAGGAGCAGCAGCAGCGCGATGAGAGCGAACAACAGGTTAAGGGCCTTTGACTGTCTGCTGTCGTGTTGAATATTTGGTTTGGGTTGTTTTTGTTTGTTTTTACTTTGTTTTTTGTTCTTCTTCGGAAGGGAGCTGCACAGCGGCTCCGTGCTTGTGCCCCTTGGAGGAGTTGTGCTTGAGGCAGCAACAACACAGGCACCAGCAACAGCAGCGGCTGCACCAGCAGCATGAGAAAGGGGCACGTGTTGGAATTCGTTTGCTATTTTATGCACTGTTAACTCATATTCTGCAGCAGCAGTTACAGCAACAGCATCAGCTGCTGCTGCAGCATTGGGATCAGCTCACCGCTCCCTATTGAGCCCGCCTGGGGACAGAGACTTCTATACCTACCCACTCGTTGCTTTCTCTTTTTGGCTGTCTCCTGCCCGTGCTTCTTCTGTGGCAGCAGCAGCAACAACGGCGCAATCGAGGTAGTAGCAGCAACAGGAGCGACTGCAACTGCAACACTTGCATCAACAACGGCGGCAGTAGAGCACGCGCAGTAACAAGATGATGCGGTGGCTCAGCAGGGCTGCTCCACTGGCGCTGCTGCTGCTGAATGGTTTTAGCAGCAATGTAGAAGATGCAGTAGCAACACTTCCTCTTAGACCAACTCCTGAGCAGGTACTTGCTGCTGCACGTCCCGCTGCTGCACGTTGTTCGGTTGCACGTTCCGCTGCTGCACATTTTTGTTGCTGCAGGTTCTTTTGCTGTACATGCTACTGCTTCACATGTTGATGTTGTACATTTTGCTTTTGTGCATGTTCCCGCTGCACACTATGCCGCAGCACCTCGTGCTATTGACGGGTGCGGCGTTCCTGTTCTAGTTTTCGCAGCAGTAGGATTTGCTGATGTTGCTGGCGTTGCTCCAGTTACTGTTGCTGCAGTAACAGCTTATGAAGAGGCAGCAGCTGATGCTGTTGCCTCTGCTGTTAAGCATTGCATGGGTTGTGTGTGGGGTTACTCCTGATCATCCTGCTTGTGAACATGGAATTGCATGGTGGTCAACAGTAATGTTTTTTTTGTTACTGTCATTATTCTTGTTGTTCTTCTTGTTTTTTTTTCCTTGCAAATGTTTTGTTTCTTGTTACTTATACGGCAAGGATTTTGCCTGTATTTATTTTGGAGGAACTCTGTCGTTGTTGTTAAGTGATGAGGAGTTTACTGTTTTGTCCGATAGATAATCTACCTATTGTTGTCGTCGCTACTATTGTTGCTTATTCGCTGTTTGTTATTTTTTGTCTGTGCCAACTTTGTGAGGGCTTCTATGTTCCTGCTTCCCATTTTTTCTCTTGCGTGCTGCTTGATCGTGTATTTTCTTATTGTCTCATTTGTTGTTGTTATTCTGTTTAGTCTGTTATTTGTGTTATTGACTCCCAGTTGGCGTTAATTGCCAATTATGTGCCCATATATTTGTGTGTCTGATTGCCGCTTCGACTCATGTTCATGTGCTTGCTTTTCCTCGATAGAGAGCCCCTTCAGAAATGTGTGCCCGCCCAATTGTGCCATATCACGTGGGGATTATTGGATTGGTCGTTTACATATATTTATTGCTTTTACGTATTTCATCTATTTAGTTTATATGTGGATGTATACATAGATTTATTTTCGTATTCCTCGGTTCGCTGTGTCTTTCTAGAGAACGTTATCTGTGTTGAATTTCTGTGCTTATTGCGGTGGTTGTGTCATATGCGTTATTGAATGATGCCTTTATGTTCACTTGTTCGTTTGTATGCGTATATATTTATAGATTTATTTACCCTTTTTGTTTGTGTGTTCGATTCTTTTTATAGAGAGCACCCTCAGAGTTAAACTTCGACGCGCAGTTGATGGTGGAAACGATGGACACTCTGGCCTGGCACCTGCACCACGACCGTCTCGCCCTTGCCCATCTTATCATGGCGATGCTGGAAGGATCGCGACTGGAAAGTAGGTCCATTTGTTTATTTTTTTCTGAGCTTTGGTTCTCTTGCGTTTCTCGGATTTGGTGGCTCATCCTTCCACGGCTTTAGCATCGTCGTATCCTTGTTTGTTTAGTAGTAGTTGTAGCTGTGCTGGGAGGATGGAGGCTGAAAGGGAGTCTTTCCTTTCCTTTTCCCTCTTTGGTCACACACCTCTTTGGTGTGCCGGCGTTGCGTTGGTTTGGTTTATTCCTTCCGTTTGGTGCTGTCATCATTATCGTTACCTTCGCTTCGTGCTCCCCTCTCCATATTTGTCCACCACCTTCGCCTCCACCGCACATCCTCGTATAGTCATGCTTGAGCAAACGGTGATTTGTTTGTCGCCTGTTCGTCTGCGTCCTGTCCTGTCTGTATATCTTCTTTATTTCGTTCTTCATCTTCCACCCTTCTGTCTTTCGTTGCTGTTGCTTCCTGCCCTCGTGAGCCACATTTATCTGGGTTTTCCCTGTTTAATGCAGTTTCGTCTTTTTGCTTCTTGCTGCCGTACACTGGTTAATGTCGTGAGTGTTTGGATTCGTTTTTCTGGTTTGGATTCATTTTTCTTGTTTTTCAGCCTTCTCGGTTCCTAGCTTTGCTAGCGTGTCTTGTAATGGGTTTCTTCGTCTATTTTCTGCTTCTTCCTCATTAGATTAGTTTCTGGCTTTGGTTCGTGTTTTCATTGTTTCCCATATGCATTGGTATTTTTTCGTCGCAGCTCCTCGTGAGGTGATAACTAAGTGCCATGGAGATTTTTCTCAAGTCCGCGGAGTTATTAAGGCAGTTCTCGTTCGATTGCCCAGAACACCTGTAAGCGAATCATGACTAATAATATTGTATCCATTTTTCCGCCTTTATTGTTTTTATGCCGTGGGTGTTGCTGTATTAGCCTGACGCTGATTATGTCTTCACGGGTTCTTTCGGGTCTTCCTCTGATTCCGGCACTTCTACTTGTTCCTGCTCTTGTGCGTATGCTTGACCGTATTTTTGAGCCTGTCGTTCCATCTTGTAGCATATCTGTTTACTTGGACCTGTGGGAGTATTATTTATATGTGTTGAAAGGCGTGCAATAGTTGAGCAGCTTGCAAGGCTTGTATATGGGTTTCAAATTGCCGCGTGCAGGTGACGGTCCCTTTAGGAGGCGCGAAGGTGACCCCAGCAGTGACGGAGGTATTCCTGAGGGCGCGGCGTATAGCGGAGGCGGAGGGGTCTTTGACAGGAATGCAGCATCTCTTCCTTGCCCTTCTCTACTGCCCCACCTTCTACAAAATACTTGTCAACAGCGGATGCGACATCGAACTGTTCAAGGAGTACGCAGTAGCCACCCTCGGGTGCTGCTCATTCTCGTCGCTGCTCTTGATGCGCGATCCGTGACATCTCGTATACAGCCTGCAGCGGCATCCTTCCATAGCCCCCTGTGTTTCTTTTCCTCTTTGTGGGCATGCTTTGCATGTTTGTTAGTCAGTCGGCATTGAGCCTCGTTGTTCTGTCTTCATTTTCGGTGCCTATCTGTCCCTTTCTGTATATATATATATATATATAT